CTTCATAGTAGAAAGAAGAATAAGAAACCATTTGTATACAAAGGAGCTCACAGTGGGAGAGAGGGTGCATGAAACCGTGGCTTTGCTTCTGTGCTGGGCATGGTACAGGCATGAACAGGATGGTCTGTTAGCCTAGAGGAGATCGTGACCAGGTGCCGAAAAGTCTGCACAGAAAAGTTTGCCACAGCAAAGTAACTCTGAGCTGGTCCAGGGGATGGGCAGGCTGGAGAAGAAGTGGGAAAGGGATTGAAGAGGCCATTCTGGACTTGTCAAAGGATGTGAGTGTGGTGCAGCATTTGAAAAGAGGAAGGGGGACAAGAGGTGAGCTTGGAGGCGTGAACTACACTGTGAAGAGTGAGCACCCTTAAGATATGCATTGTGCCTGATAGGCCAGCAGAAGTCAGAGGAGGCCTTTGAACAGGGAAGGTTAGAGTTTGAGATGCTTCCTGTGGCCACAGGGAGTCATGTGGAGAGATGAACAAGGCAGGGGAGAGGCTGGAAAGAGCCTGTTGAGAGGTCTGTAGAGTTTGGGAAGGAGGTGACACAGGCTTAAATGGAACCAGCAATCCCGGTGATGGAAAGAAGAGGAAGAACAGGTGACCCTTAGGTGTGAAGGGGGAAGAGTTTAGCGCCTAGAAAGGAGCTGCTATAATCAATAAGATGGAATAGAGAATGCACAGAGAACTGGGCCCCCTCCAGGAAGTCCATTTTTCTTTCATCCGTTATTTTTTATTCCTCTGCTCCTTTAAAATCACCTTAAAATCTACTTCAGAGATATTGTCTGATTAATTCATGACTTTCTGATATCCTAACCTTTCTATTTATCCCAGTCTTTCCTTTATAGGTATTCACCCATTCAGTCATTCCATTCACAAATGTTTATTGAGGACCCACTGTGTGCCAGGCACTGGCTTTGGGCATAGGGGCACAATGATGAAAAGACCGTGCATAGGCCCTCACTAAAGCTTCGAGTATAGAGAAGTGGACAGACAATAAAACATAATACTAAATAACCTAACATTAAACAGCTTGTGGGGGGGTGTAAGGTAGGAGATGAAGTTTGAGGGGTTGGTGAGAGTCAGATCATACAGGGCCTTGTAGACCATGGTCTGAAGATGGAATCTTATCCCAGGAGAAGTGGACAAAAAGCTAGTAGGGCTTGTGGTGACAGCAGAAAGACATGGTTCTGGGATGTCACTGAGGTTGGGGCTTGAACAACCAGGTTGACGGTAGTGGCATAGATTGAGGTGTTACTGTGTATTTTTCAAGTATGTGGCTCATGTTGCACTTAAGTTATTCTACCAGCATCACAGCTGACACACCTGGCAATACTTGGTGTCACATCTCACTCAGCTCTGCACACTCCCCACAATGTGACACGTGCAGTACATGGAGAGGCCATGTCACATGTAAACGTGTGCCTCCACTCTTGACTCGGGCCATTGAATCAAAGCTGCGTTTGGGAGTAGAAGAACCTTGAGCTGTTTTAACTTTTTCTCATGAGGTAAGAAAAATGGTCGAGAGAGGGAAAAACTGAGGCCGAAACAAGAAAATAAAAGCTCCTAAGAAAACTGTTCCTTTTGCTGACAGCAGAGGCTGGATGTGGGGAACAAGAGGATGGCAGTAGATCGAGGTGCCCAATCCGTGAAGCCTTAGGGACCAGGGAAGAGGACATGTTTCTGTGCATGATGATTAGAATGCGTGTTCCCTGGCGTCTGATGGCCTGGCTTCAGGTCAGGATTCACATGGGCATCTGAGCTCTTTGGACTCTGAGTTGGGAAAGCTTGTGAGTCATTCCTCGGGTTGATGTAAACAGCGGTGCTTGAGTGAGTGCCTGGGCTGTCTCTGGAGAAGGAGAACAGATAGAGCCAGGGTCTGATGATGAGAATTTTCCATTTTATGGTGGTGATGGCCTGGAACGCCTAGAATGATTTATTAGCCTTCACACAAGACCATTCCTTAGCTTAGGAGACCATATTGTATAGATCCACGGTGAAGTGGAATGCTCAAGTGGTTTGTTTTCCCCTCCAATGTTTTGGACGCTGAAGCTTTCAGGGAATACTTTACTGAATTGCTGTGTAATTGAATTGACTTCAAAAGGCTTGAACACATTTACTTGAAGCATTATTTTTATTTTCTCTGATTTCAAGGTAGTTATATTTTAACAAAATCTTTTTGTTGCTGTTGTTACAAAAGAAAACTAATCAAGGATATGTACCTTAATAATTGTTTTTAAAGTTTATTTATGACTATAATGAAGCCTTATATTTACATAATGCTTTACAATGCACAAAAACATTGTCCCATGTTTCCATTTTATACACACAACCACCCCAAGAGGTGAGCAGGGATTGGAACCCCTTTTCACAGATGAAAGGATGGGGAAGTTGTGCAATGAGTGGGTGCCTCAGTCACATAACTAGAAAGAGATTTGGGACTTGAGTCTCTACCATTTGACTCTAAGGACAGGTATCTCTCTTCTGTATTTTGGGTGTGAAGTCCCACAAAAAATGTGGGAATGGGACACACGATATTTGAACTCCTGTTTGGTGATGGGCATTGGTAATGCCCTTCACACATCTTGTCTCATTGAATCCTCACAACTCTAGGGCAATTATCACCATCCCCACTTTACTGATGAGAAAAATGTTCCCCAGAAGGTTCACAAACTAACCAAAGCTAGTGAGTGGTGGGGCTGGGATTTGACCATGAATCCAAATCCTGAGCTGACTCTTCTTAACCAAGAGCCTGTCTGTACTGTTCCATGAGGAAAGATCACACTGCATCAAAATCCTAGAGGAGAACACAGGCAGCAACTTCTTTGATCTTGGTCACAGCATCTTCTTACTAGACACATCACCAAAATCAAGGGAAAAGGAAAGCAAACATTATTGGGACCTCGTTAAGATACAAAGCTTCTGCACAGTGAAAGAAACAATCAACAAAACTAAAAGGCAGCCTAAGGAATAGGAGGAGATGTTTGCAAACAACATATCTGATAATGGGTTCATATCCACAATCTATAAAAAAGTATCAAAGTCAACACCCAAAAGACAAACAACCCAGTTAAGAAATGAGCAGAAGCCCTGAATAGACACTTTTCAAAGAAGACATCCAGATGGCTAACAGACACATAAAAAGATGCTCAAGATCACTCATAATCAGGGAAATACAAATCAAAACCTTGATGAGATACCACCTCACACCTGTCAGAATGGCTAAAATTAACACAAGAAACAATAGGTATTGGCGAGGATGTGGAGAACGGGGAACCCTCTTGCACTACCGGTGGGAATGCAAACTGGAGCAGCCACTCTGGAAAACATTATGGAACTTCCTCAAAAAACTAAAAATAGAACTACTCTATGACCCAGCATTTGTACTATTAGGTATTTACCTAAAGAATACAAAAATACAGATTTGAAGGGGTACATGCACCCCAGTGTTTACAGCAGCATTTTCAACCGTAGCCAAACTGTGGAGAGAGCCCAAATGTTCATTGACTGATGAACGGATAAAGAAGATGTGGCATATATATACAATGGAATATTAGCCATAAAAAAGAATGAAATCTTGCCATTTGCAATGACGTGGATAGAGCTAGAATGTATTATGCTAAGCAAAATAAGTTAATGAGAGAAAGACAAATGCCACATGATTTTACTCATGTGTGAAATTTAAGAAACAAAACAGGTAAACATATGGGAAGGGGGGGAGAGAAGAAGGGGAAACCACAAGAGACTCTTAATGATAGAGAACAAACTGAGGGTTGATGGAGGATTGTGGGAGATGGGCTAGATGGGTGATGGGTATTAAGGAGGGCACTTGTTATGATGAGCACTGGGTGTTGTATGTAAGTGAAAAAGCACTGAATTCTACTTCTGAAACCAATATTGCACTGTATATTAACTAACTAAAATTTAAATTGAAAAGGAGAGATTTAAAAAAAAACGTATTAGGTAACAGCAGCATTAATTTTACTAAACTTTACTAAATTGGATTTACTAAATTATTCTCTTCTTCACTTTTAGACAAAGATAGCTCTCCTAAACATTTTTTATAAAATAAGACAAATATGCAAGAAATAAATACTTGTCTCTTGGAAGAGAATGAAACTAACAGTCTTAAATATCCTTTGGTCACAGCAATATTTGATGCTACTCTTAAGACTATGGACTGAGGGGCACCTGGGTGGTTCAGTCAGTTGAGAGTCCGACTTTGCCTCAGGTCATGATCTCGCAGTCTGTGAGTTCAAGCCCCGCGTCGGGCTCTGTGCTGACAGCTCAGAGCCTGGAGTCTGATTTGGATTCTGTGTCTCCCTCTCTCTCTGCCCCTTCCCCACTCATGCTCTGTCTCTGTCTCAGAAATAAATAAACATTAAAAAAAAAAAAAGACTATGGACTGAGAGGTTTCTTTTTTTAATATTTTTCAAAAAGTTTATTTGTTTTGAGAGAGAGTGTGCATGCACGTGTGTGCATGTGAGTGAGGGAGGGGCAGAGAGAGAGAGACAAAGAATCCCAAGCAGGCTCCCCACTGCTAGTGGGGTCCGATACGGGACTCAAAATCACACCGTGGGATCATGACCTGAGTGGGAATCAGACGTTTAACCAACTGAACCACCCAGATGCCCCTGGAAATGAGATTTCTAATCTGTGGAACTGATGTCGCATGTCTCAGTGTGAAGTGAAAGTCTTATTATGGACAGCTAACAAACCTGGATGATGATCTATTTAACCCTAGGGTTTTGGTATAATAATTGCTTATTAACATGAATTTCTCATTCTTCACCTTTGAACCAAAGTAGGCTCTCTTTGTATCCATTTTTTTTTTTTTTCATGCTACTTGTCCTTAGGCCCATGTTCTCTAGTAGGAGATGCTTAAAAGGGGCTTGGTTTTGCTACTGATTTAATGAAGCTTGTAGGATGAATCTTGTTGTACTGATTAGTATTGCTGTATTTTCCAATTAAAAACAAAATGGCGCAAATGTGCTTTTATCCCAGATGACTGCTACACTGAGAAACTTGGTTGATTCACCACCAGCAAGAAGTAAGTTGCTAAGCATCAGTGCCCTCCCCCAGCTCTGCATGGTGATGGGACAGTACATGGCTGACAAGGATGTCTGCACCAATATTGCCAGAATATTCAGGTAGGTGGACTAGGAAAACAAAGCAGCCTTACACAAATGCTAAGGCTTAAATTTGGGGGGGGGGTATCTTTAATATTCGCGTGTGTGTGGCTGGCAAGGAATCCTATTTTGCTTCTGCACCTAAAAAAAAAAAAAAAAGTAAATCTAATGGCCTAAGTTCAAAAAAAATGATTTAAACTGATGACTCCATTTCATATGGTTTTCTAATGCGATTCTAAATTCATCCATTGTAAGTCACCTTAGTTCTTTGGTGAGTCAGGAGTTATCCTAGGGTTTTTACACAAACAAAAATTCCTCTTAGCTTATTGGAGATAAATAGCTATATCACAAAACATGGTAAACTTTCTAGCACACTTGGAAACGGTACTTAAGGGTTTTAACTCAAAAAGGGGAACGTTGCTTACAAAGTCTCATCTGACCTGATTTGTAAGAGAAGGTTATTTTATTTCAGTTGTTTGACTGAACTTTGGCTCACACATTCACTAATCATGTTCACACTTCACTCCAGGAGTGATGACCATCTGAATCCAGGTTGCTTTAAAGCAAGATGTTTAATTTCAGAACAGTCTTTAAATTATTATATTTCCTCCCTCACTGCTCCTTGAGCCAATGTTTTAACATAATTATCCTTCTCAAGAGACCTGGGCATTTCTTGAACTTCACTGTAATTGTTTAGCAAAATAGAAAATTTCCCGAACACTGAATTGGTAATTGACCACAGTATGAGGATGAGTCCAGATTTGATTTTCAGCACTGTGCTTTCCTGCCTGGATACTTAATTTGGGGTACTTATCACTCTCATTTTGAAGCACTGTAAAATCATAAGTTTTGTGTTTATACATGGTGGCATGTAGGGATCCAATTTTCATTTTTTTTCCACATGGATAGTCGGTTGTCCCAGCACTTTTTATTGAACATGGCATTTTGTTTTTGCACTGATTCTAAATGCCTAGTTAGTTAAACACAAGCAAGCTTCCTTATACTTGTAGGTCTGTTTCTAGGCACTTTGTTTGGTCCGTCCTCAGACCAGTACCACACAGTTTCCAGTGTTAATAGATTTAAGTCTTGCTATAAGGTAAGATGAGTCCTTTGCCTCTTTTCTCCTTTAACGTCCAAATTCTTCCCTCTTTCTCATGAATTGGAGAATCAGCTAAGGTCTGGGATAGGAACTTTAGCATTTTTCATAGAACAGCACTGAGTATATAGAGCAATTGGGATGCAAGAGTGGAGAATTGACACTTTTATGCTACTGAGTCTTCCACCAATAAACATTTATGATGTCTTCTTTTATATTTTTCTATAAAATTTTATTTTTTTCTCCAAAAAGATTTTGCACATCTTTTGTCAGATTTATTTCTTCATGGCTTTTGCTGCAATTATGAATGCAATCTCTAAACATATTTTTGAGGGGACTAAGAGGTACAAACTTCTACTTATAAAATAAGTCATGGGGAAGAAAATACAGCATAGGGAATACAGTCAGTAATATTGTAATAACTTTGTATGGTGACAGATGGTGACTACACTTATCATGGTGAATATGTTATAATGTATGGAATTGTCAAATCACTGTGTTGGAGACCCAAAACTAATGTAATAGCACATGCTGACTATAAAATATGTATATAAAATATTTCCTAATAGGCTGTTGCTGGTGTACATAAATAGTATTTAATATTTGCTTATTAATTTTAATCCAGGAATCTTAATGAAATTTACATCTAAGCATTAGTCTATAGATTGTCTTGGATTTTGTATGCAATTTGTCTGCATATAAGAATAGTTTCGGGTTTTTTTCCCCATCATTACAACTCTTCCCTGCTGTCCCCACCTCTTTCTAATTGTATCACTCAGGATGTCCCATACAAAGTTGTAAGAGTGTTGGACCTGCTGCCTTTCTCCTGCAGAGAAATATTTGAAAGAAAATATTTGAAAGAAATACTTTTGTGGTTTTACCAGTTAAAAATAATATTTACTGCAGGTTTTTGTAGATACCCTTCAGAAGGTTAAGGAAGAATTTTCTTGCACTAATAGGTGTTAGATTTTCTTGAATGCTTACCTAGTATCTATTTTGATTATGTAGATTTTCTTTTCTAAATTCATTAATATAGTAGATTACAGATTAATAGGTTGTCTGATGTTAAGCTGCTATACATTGCTAGGTTGAATTGACTAATATCTTGTTTAGGATTTTTCATCTATGCGTTAGATGAAACTTGTACTTTTCCTTTTGTATTGTCCATGTTTGGTTTTAGTGGCAAGTTTATACCAGCCTCATAAAATGAGTTGGGAAGTGTTCCCACTTTTTCTCTATTATCGAAGAATTCCTGAAAATTAAACTTACCTGTTTCTTGAAAAGTTTGTAGGACTTGCTTGGAAAGTTATTTTATCCTGGTGTGTGTGTAAGATTTGTGTCTATCATTGACCACAGATTCACTTTCTTTAGTGGCTATATATCCAGCCATATTTCCTCTTGGGTTAGTTTCAAAAAGTTATATTTTTATAGGAATCTATAAAAATCTATAGCACTACTAGGAATTTACCCAAGGGATACCGGAGTGCTGATGCATCGGGCACATGTACCCCAATGTTTATAGCAGCACTTTGAACAATAGCCAAATTATGGAAAGAGCCTAAATATTCATCAACTGATGAATGGATAAAGAAGATGTGGTTTATATATACAATGGAATATTGGCAGTGAGAAAGAATGAAATCCTGCCATTTTGCAGCAACATGGTTGGAACTGGAGGGTATTATGCTAAGTGAAATAAGTTAGGCAGAGAAAGATAGATATCATATGTTTTCACTCATGTGTGGGTCTTGAGAAACTTAACAGAAGATCATGGGGGAAGGGAAGGGGAAAAAAATAGTTACAAACAGAGAGAGAGGGAGGCAAACCATAAGAGACTCTTAAATACAGAGAACAAATTGAAGGTTGATGGGGATGGGGGAGAGGGGAAAGTGGGTGATGGGCTTTGAGGAGGGCATTTGTTGGCATGAGCACTGGGTGTTGTATGAAAGCCAATTTCACAATAAACTATATTTTAAAAAAAGTAAAATAACCCTATGTGTATTTGAGCTTTCTGGAAACCAAAACAAAACAAAACAAAACAAAAAAACCAAAGTTTATTTTTATTTTCCCATTTGGCATTTCTGCAGCAAACTTACTTCTTACCATGACTGCTGTGCAGCCTTGGCCAACTGTTCCAGATGTTATGCCTTGTTTTTGAAAGTGATAAACAAATACCAGAAGAAACAGGTCAGTTCTTCATGTATTTAATTCTTCAGTTTGTCTTTGCGTTGGGGTATTTGTATAAGCCCATGTTAAATGACCTTATGTTTTGAACGTACAGGTTTCTATCAGACGCTTCCATTTGATGTGTAATGGGCAGCCCCAGGAGTCAGAGTTATCTGTAGGAGTTGAGGAGAGACTAGTTGGAGGGAGAAATGGCTACCATGGGATGTTGATGCAGTAGGATCCCTGGTTTAGGGAAGAGGTTGGGTGCACAGTGTTGTTGCTGCCAGTGATCCCTAGACACTTAGACGAGAGTCATCCTGGGGTGGGATGGGGGTTATTTGCAGGCCCAGTCCCAGGCTTGCTGAATGGGTCGGAAGGGGCCTGGCCATCCACACTTGACTGAGAACCACGGGGACTTCTGATGCAAAGCACAGTTTGGGATCCCCTGCACGGGTATACTCTAAAGATTCTTCTAGACTGGAAATTCTCTAATTCTTTGACACTTTAGTATTTAGAAGATGAATCATTCCAAACAAAGGTAAATATTAGAAAGAAAACAGAGGCACCTGGGTGACTTAGTTGTTGAGCGTCTGGTTCTTGATTTCAGTGCAGGTCATGATCTCACAATTCGTCAGATCAAACTCTGCATCAGGCTCTGGGCTAGCAGCCCAGAGCCTGCTTGGAATTCTCTCCCTTCTCCCTGCCCCTCCCCTGCTTACTCTCTCACTCTGGCTCTCAAAATAAATAAATGAACATTTAAAAACATTTTAGAAAGAAAATAATTTGGTTTTAATGAATTGGGTAACAGTATATAGAGCTATTTAAAAAAGGGAAGATGTCACAAATGACTCCACCTTAATATAATCATAATAGTACAGACATTAAGTTTTATTATGAGTCTTTGAATATTCATTAAGTGCAGTTTATTCAGATTTATAAATGATTACAGTTACACCAACTGTTTAGTGACATATTTTATACATGAACACAATATATATTTCAAATATGGTAAACTTTCAGAATCGCACACTAAGTTTCATCAGCTTTAAACCAAATAATTTATATGTATACTAAGAACATTTTAATATAAAGCTTTTGTGTTTGTTTATATTGGCCATCTCAAAACCACCTCAAAATATAACCCATGTTTCCACAAATAGCGCTGAATTTATTTTTACCCAGCCAAGTACTTCTGCTGAGAATAACTAAGTTTGTCAGATTTTATGCTATTATTAGCTAATTTATTAAAATGTTACTAGTCTCTTTTTGGTTATACAGATGACAGAGAAGTATCTATGCTCATATTACACTATTACTACATTTTAAAGATGGTAAAACCTTGCTTAAAGTGTTAGTAATTTTTATTTGGCTTTTAAACTCTGATTTACAAATGCGTACTTGAGTTTCTGTTTCTGAGAATTTGGGTTACAAATGCTTTCACCTACATATTTTGTATTTTTTCTAAATTACATACTTTGAAAGATTTCAAGGTATAAGAATTTGCTACGTCAGGTGAAGAATGATTTGATTAATCTACCTGAAAGATTCTCCATTGCTGTTAAGTGTCCATTAAGCATTTGTCTAGATCTTGGCATAATGTATTATCATAACTGTAATCTTAGGGCAAGTGAATTAATCTGGTGAAAAGCTTAGGCACTCCTATTCCTGGTTTTCTTTTTAAGTAAAAGAATAAAATGGCAGAAATATATTTTACATTAAAAGAATTCTTTTAGATCTTATACTTTAAAAGTTTAGTTATGGATTTTGTTTGTAAATGTGCTTTTATGATTTTCATTGTAATTTTATCTTACCATCATTATTCTTTTTTGCTTTGGTGTTTTGATTTTGGATGATTTAGATAACTATAACCAGAGAAGGCATCTTTGCTTGCACTAGAATTTTCAAATGAGGGTTAAAGAATGCATTTTGGTTTAACAACTTGAATTCAAGTTATGTCATAACCTGTAAATTTTTAAAAAGGAAGAATACACATCAGTTCAGTACTGATAAATAGTCCTATTGTTTTGTAGCATTACTAGTAAATAACCGTTTGTTTTTCTGATTATAGCTTGGATGATGGCCGTGTTTAATAAACAGACAAAAATCCTGGTATCTTGCCAATATAAGACATTTGAGATGTCAACACAGCTAAGGGTATGCTTTTGCTGGTGTAAGGGACTATATATCTTAAAGTTTAATCTGCATAAAATTTTACTGTGGCTCTTAGCAAACTACTTTTCACCTTGTACCAAAAGTTCTCATAAAGCAAAATTGGTGTTTCAAAGCCATCTTTTTTCTCTATTGATCTATATGACAATTTTGTGTTCCTATTAAAATTATTTTGGTTAGAAGAAGAATGAAGAGCACCTTGCAAACTATGTACAGTTCATATTGTTTCCAGAACCATCAAGGAAATGCATAATTTATTAAATTATTTTAATCATTGCAGTGAAGATCATATTAAAATATATTACATATTTCCTTGCTTTCTTAGAAGACACTAAGAATAATTTAATCTCTTCTTGATGCCAAAGGTCAATATTACAAACATTAATTATTGCTCTAGAGGCTATTTGTCCCATAGTGCGAGCATGAGTCTGTTGATGAGATTCTTTTTTTTTTTTTTT